GTGTCCCTCAGGGATGTACAAATATGGAAAGGTTTAATTTTTACCAGTAACAATGAGGGACCTTTGTTTGTTTCATCTTTCCTCTTCTGCTTAGTGGAGAAACTTAAAAATTGCTCAGTAATGATAGATTCCTCAGTCCAACCCTTTCTGTTTTTGTCTTTCTGGTTTGAAATCTAGCCTGGTTGAAAATGTATATTTCTGAGTTTCTTTCTTCCCACTTTGTGCAGTCTTCGGTGCGGCTGCCAGGAGCTGCCCATGACAGGCAAGCATGGGGCCTGCTCTCTGCCCGTACCATCCAGGCTGCTGGTGGCAGGAGGGTGTATGCAGGGATGGGGCATGGAGGTCCGGTTTGGTGTCCACTTATACTCAGGTGAGAATGATGGCAGTAGTCCCATTCTTTTGGTCTCAGTTGCTTCTCTATCCAATGCTGACAGACTATGTTTATATCTGGTACCCCAACGAGGAGGATGCTATATGGGCTTTGGCTCCCTGAGACTTGTGGGAATTGACAAAGCCTACCACAGGCAGCGTTCTCTTTGGCCCGACTCTAAGATATGGGGACTGCCCCCTTGTGTGTGAGGTCCTGGAATCTTCTCTTACCTGTCTGTTAGTAGTAACTAGAACTCCCTGTGTTGGCTCCCCACACAGGCCTGGCCTGACTCCCCTAGAGCAGCCTACCAATGCCTTTCTCTCAGTAAATTTCTATGTCGTCCACTCCAAACTGATGGATGGAGTGAGACGCCGTCTGCATCCCCCACAGCTCCTACATACTTGGAGGCAGCTCCCTTAATTCTGTAAGGAAATTTTTCAAACCTCCCAGTTCTTCAAGCCAGCAGAGTAGTTGTTCTTATCTACTTTGGTCAAGAGAAAGAACTTCACCTAAGGTCCAGGGTCAATGCTCGAATGTCACAAGCAATTCTTTTGAGGTACTTCAAATTTGGAAGGATGACAAGAAGAAAAGCCATCCTCTCCATAAACACACATAATGAAGAGAGACGGGACTGAGAGAAATCTGCTCTCTCCAAAGGACAATGCTCTTCTCCCCCTTCATAAGGAGTTCTTACGGACTAAGTAGGTGGGGCAGGTTGGTGGGGAATATTCCGCTAACCCTTCATACTTTGAGGGGGGAGGGGCTGAGGCAGTTCCCTGCAGATAATGACTTTGACCTTAAGTGTAAGCTGTCTTCTGTTAAGAGCAGTCCTGGTCAAAATCCCTCCTTGGGAGTAGGTAACGGTCTGAGTAAATTCCAGCAAATTCATATCTAGCAAATGAATATATACTCTACATTTTACAACGTGTGTTAAGAATGAACTCAAAAACCCTTTATGACTTTAATATTTGATGGTGTGAATCTAGTCCTGGTGCTTTTCCACATTTAGACTGTCCTCATCATTTTCAAAGGGAAGGATTTCTAATATTATAGAAATGTCCATTATGAGTAAAAACATTTTATTCTCATTTGAATAACTTAAATCACAACTTAATAATAACTAATGGCTGTGTAGTCTTTTATAAAGAACTCCTATCACATTTGGTTCCTACAAACTACCTGTGCATTTATTCAGTATTTACTTGTTGTCTATGGTTATTATTTCCCCCATTTTAAAGCATGGTGCGGTTAGTTAACTGCCCTGTGAGAACCAGAGTTTTAACTCAGGTTGTGAAATTAAACTTCTGGGTTTTTCCCCACAGTGGATGCTTTCATATAAGAAAGTGATGTCTTCTAATGGAGGACGTGTCTCCCGAGTCAAACCTCAGAGGGTAGAACTGGACACAGGTACTGGCCCCTTACTCCAATCCGTCCTTGTGATCAAAACCCAGTGTACAGACAGCTGTGTAGGATGAACGGGCACAGGCTGCATGACTCCAGGGCCTCAGGCCATACCCCAAAGGACAACTTGAAGGAGAGGAAACTGGAGAGATCCAAACACATATAACATATAAGTCCAAGTTCCCCTGGGTACTTAAAATGAAAGCTTTGTTTGGTTCCTGAATTCATCTGTAACATAGGGTTACTACCTGTAAAGCCTTTGAAAATACAAAAACTTTGTCATTCAGCAATAGTGAATTTTCTTGCCAAAGACTTTAGCCCTAGGGAAAATAATATGCCATATTTTGCAACCCACAGGGGTCATCATGACTTCTAGAAGTGCCACAAGGGAGCGCAGAGCAAGGAAATTGGAGCTCAAAAGCGACACCTGGACGCCTGCTGTTACCATAGTTACAAAAGGAAAGGAAGGAAGAGATGTACTATTTCCTATAAGTAGTGAGGTTAAGTCTTGCCTGATTTGGGATCACTGGGGTGAATAATCCTAGCCTTACCCACAGGGTTTCATCATGATTGCCGTGAGTTTCAACATGAAGCAGGGAGCAGGAAGAGGGATAAATCATTTGTTTACACTCACGAAGCTGTTCCTGATGTTCCATCACGTGACCTTTACTCTCAGAACCTGCTGAAACGTGCCGGCTTTATTCACTCTCCTACCAGCAAATTCTAAGAATTAATGGTCATGACTAATTTTAGTTAGTTTGGGTAGCACATGCCCCAGGGAGATAAAGGAGGGGAGAATGTCTCTCATTCCTGAATTTCTGAGACTGGATCAGGACAGTGGGGTGGAGAGCATCACAACTGTGACTCCCTAGGGCATACCATGGAACCTGGTCTGACTCATCTTCCAGTCTGAATCTCTTCTCCTGCACCCCTGCCAGACTGCGTTATATTCCCTCCTCCGAGGACAACTTTCTTGGTGATGCTCTCATTACAATTTGGGCGGGGAGATTTCATCTTTAGATCATTTTGAGAGATAACAGTGATTACCACAAGTAACATAAACATGTACTATGGACTGCTGTAGGTGAGACCCTACAAAAGAGCTCTGGAGTCTCATTTCATCTTCCGAATGATTGCAGGAGCTAGATAACTAGCCTCTTCATCATCTTCTACAGAGGAAGAGACTGAGGCTCAGGGTAGCAAGGAAACTCCTCCACTATCATGCGGCTATGAAATAATGTCAGAACCCAGGGCTCTGTGAGACGCCAAGATTAGTGAATGCTGAATCTTCCAACTTCTTTACCCAGCACTGAAACCTGTCTCTGTGTACTTTCCATCCACTGGTCCTAGTTCTATCCTCTGAAGACCCATCCGTGGAAAAAGTCTTAAACCCTTACCCTACTAGATCGTCTGATATTGAACATAGCTTTTGGGACTTTCTGTGTTGTCACTGTTTTTAGATGTCCATTCTTCAACCTCCTAAGCCATCTGTTTTCTCTGGGTTCTCTGGGTTTCCTGCATTAGCATTCCAAGGGGGCTCCATGCTCTGCCCTCTATCCTACACTCGACAGCCATGGTGGGCCTTAAAATACGTCAGATCACTGCAGTCCTCTGCTTAGAACACTCTGTGGCTTCTCAGGTCACCGAAAGCAAAATCTCTGCAGCCAACTTCATGATGCTAAAGCCCAAGACAGGACCTCCTCTCCAGTCCTCTCCCCTCCTGCCCATACTGTTCCCTCAGCATGCCAAGCGTGATCCCAACTGCTCTCCCTGGAACAGTGAGGCCTTCTCCTTCCTTCTTGTAGTCTTCTCCACAGCACTTACGATTTTCCTCCTTTCCTTCATTTTTGCCTGCCCTCTCCCTGTGGCCCCACAAGAATGCAAGCAAGCTCTGAAAAGCAGGGAGTTTTAGTTCAAATCTCAGGTTAAATCCCAAGTGGTACACAAAATTACCATTTCACAAGGGTCAGCCTATGCTGTCCCCAGCACTAAGAGCCTCCCCGGGCCCAGCAGCATTCAAGAAGTAGCAGGTAAATAAGTGAATGACCTATACAATGATACTAAAAATGTTACAGAGCTTTTATGCACTTTGTTATCCTCAGTAAGAACTTCCCTATCAACTGGCCAGATTTCTGATAGCATGTCTTCCTACTCCTACGGGGAGCCTAACAGATATGCAAACAAAGATTAAAAACTCTTGTAGACACCAAATCTAGCTTTGAACTGTAGGAGAATTTCCTTGAAGCATTTACCAGTAATTTTAAGCTCCTCCATCTACCTCTAGACATCCTGTGTTGAGAGGGGCATCTTTGTATCAACTGCTAGAATCTATTTGGATTCAGGATAAGGTCCTTTCTTAAGCTAAATGCAGGCAATGGTTTTACACAACCACCTGCTACAGAATGACCTACTTATCTTACTACCCCTGTGTTAAGACAGAAGAGTGGGTATTCTTTGGTAAATAATATTCCACTTGAAAAATCTGTTAATTTGTAGCTTTTAATGAACATGTAGCTGAAGATCACTCCAAAGACAAATTTTTTCACCCCTCAGGGCACTGTTTCCTATTGGTGGATTTGACATCGTACGGTGATTGACTTTAAAAATGGTTTAGTCAAGGCGCCTGGGTGGCTCAGTGGGTTGGGCTGCTGCCTTCGGCTCAGGTCATGATCTCAGGGTCCTGGGATCGAGTCCCACATTGGGCTCTCTGCTCAGCAGGGAGCCTGCTTCCCTCTCACTCTCTCTGCCTGCCTCTCTGACTACTTGTGATCGCTCTCTGTCAAATAAATAAATAAAATCTTTAAAAAAAAAAAAGGTTCAGTCACTGTGTTAAAAAATTGCCAAAAATTCTAGCATCAAGACATGGAGACACTATGATCGGATACATTACCCGGTGTGAGGAAAATCATGCTGCTCACTGTGGACTGACACAGTAATCCTCTCTGCTGATCACAAGGTGTTGGGGGAGTTGTCGTCAAACCCCAGTCATCCCTTCAATTACCATTTCAAATTATTCACCGTTAATTTGCAGTGCTGCTTACGGAAGGCTGAAGGTTTTGTTCTCACACATTGAGGGCAAGGAGACAGTTTAAAGGTTTTAAATAGACACAGAAAAGCCAGTATTTTTTTTCCTCATTCAAAATAATTAAAAGTCCCTTTAGAATCACACATCAACAGTTCTCACAGTCATCCACAATTTCATATAAAGCATGAGTTTTTTTATACCCACAACAAAACATGGACCTGCAGAAGTTTTCAAACAATCCTCCAGCAGCTTCATGCGAGTCTTCTGGAGCTCTGGGCTGTCCCATTCGTCTTCTTCGATGCCCCAGTAGAGATCTATGACCTGGGAACCAAAGGATGAGGCAGGATTAATTTACCTGCAGGAAAAATTCATTTACCTGTGGGCTTTATTCTTATTTACAATGTTAAGCTAACGTGACTTTTAACTCTTCTCTTTGCAGCATGTTTTCCCTTAAGAGGGAAAATTATATTTAAGATCTGTTCAAATAGATATACTTTTCATCCCATGATGGGCTAGGGATGAACATTATAATTTCTTTTGTTCCTTATTATATTGTTGACATGGCCCCAGAGAAAATGAAATGTTAAATGTCAGAGGCTTTGTGGGAGCAGACTTTCATTATATTGAAATGGTAACAGAATTTCAAAAAAAATGTTTGGAAGCACCTGGGATATGGTTACCACATTATTTGAGACAAAAAAATAGTCTATAATATTACTATGTATCTTAATATGAGAAGTGGGGGGCCTCGGTGGCCCAGTTGGTTAAGTGTCTGCCTTCGGCTCAGTCATGATCCCGGAGTCCTGGCATCAAAAACCCCACATCGGACTCCCTAAGCAGGGAGTGTGCTTCTCCCTCTGACCCTCCCCACTCTCTTGCATGCTCTCTTTCAAATAAATAAGTAAAATCTAAAAAAAATATATGAGAAGGGAAAAAAACACAATGGCAATTAATATATATTGACCTAAAGGCAAACACTGAACTTTCTTAAAAAAATTAAAAAATCTTTAAAAAGCCTGTTATGATGCTTTATCCCACAGAGATAGACATTTTGTTTATGTCTGTTTCATCTGAAAGCAGTTTGGCTTTCATCAATACATGTCTGAAAACCATGTATTGGAAACAATGAAAGGTGGTATGCCTTAATGAGAAGTGAGGATAATAGGATCTTCTATCTCCTTACTTCAAAGACTATGAGGGAGGATTCTGAGAGTCTGTAAAGACATTTACAAGCATGCTCTTTTGAAAATCTGCTATGAAGAGCAATATGGGTTTCATTCCCTTTACTCAATGGCTATTCTGCATAAATAAAGTAAATGTTTCCAATTGCAGCTTTGAAGATTTCCTTTCTTTGTTTCCCACAAGCAGAAAAAGAACCTCCCCTCCTTACTCCTGGCTGGCACGGGCATTCAGGGAGATGGAAGCACAGAGGATGGGTTCTCCCTTGTGTCCCAGGCAGATCTCAAGGACACCTCTTGACCATGGCCCTGCATGGTTGTGTCTGCATCAGATCTTTGTCTATCTGCGTTTGAGTTTTTAGATGGCTGATAAAGATTTAACAACCTCTTAAAAAATATTCCTATGGCCTGGTCCGTAAGTTTTATAATAAATGAAACTATCCTACTGGGGGGAAGGGCTCTTCCCTTTAATCTACCTTATAGGTTTTAACCACACTATCAAGGAAGGGACTGAGATGATGCCTTCAGTGTCCTATAAGACAGACTGTAGCTGTGGCTATTCAAAGGTAAATAATAGTTTAAATCAATTCAAGTACTTCATAGCCACATGTGGCTACTGACTCTCATGGGGGAAAGCACAGATACAGACCATGTCACCATCATGGAAACCATAATTTGACAGTTCTGTAAATTACTGAGATCACTAGAACAAGACATTTTTGGCCATCTGCCAAGAAACTGTCAAACCCACAAATCTGCAACATGAATGGTAACTCTTATTTGTGCCTCACACAAACTGACCATGCTTCAGAGAGCCTATTCTCCATCCTTTTGGCTACACCATTTGGACATACCTGAGGAAAGGTCTGATTTAGAACAGATGAAGAGAAACAAATGGTAAACATAAACAATATCAAGGATAATATCACAAAAGCTATAAATATATATGCCTGCTTGTCCCTCACCTAAAAGCATCAAATTATAACAATATAATTGGATTTGTAAAATATATAAAAATGTTACATATATAACAACAGCACAAAAAGGGAATAGAGATATAAAAGAGTAATCTTTTTATAGCTCACTGGAATTAAGTTGGTATAAATTATAAGTAGATTCTGATACAACATGTCTTAAAATAACTTTGAAGAAAATAACATACAGTGAAAAACTAAAGGAATTGAAATGTCACACTAGAATATGTTCACTAAACATGAAACAAAAAAGTAAAAGGAACACAAAAGATATGAGGAAAAAAAGTAGAATGGCAGATGTGAATCCAACTATATTCATACCATTAAGTGTTAATGAGTTAATACAACCAAAAGCAGAAATTGTCAGACTGGATTAACACTATATGCTTATGCAATCTATAGACATGACACTTTAGATTCAAATAGGTTGAAAGAAAAAGGATGGAAAAAGATGCATCATGCAAGCAGTAACCATAAGAAAGCTCACATGATTACTGATATCAGCCAAGAGATTTTAAGACAAAATGTAACGAGAGATAAAGAAGGACATTTTATAATGATGAAAAGGTGGATTCATCAAAAAGATATAACAATTATAAATGTATATACAAAACAGTCTTAAAATACCTTAAGTACAACTGACAGAAGTGAAGGAAAAACAGACAATTCAACTATATTAGAGACTTAACTATCTCACATTCAACAATGGAAAGGATGACTACGAAGATGATCAATTAAAAAGTCAAAGACTGGAACAATATTATAAACTTACTAGATCTAACATATTTATAGTACAATCTACCCAACAAAAGAATATACATTCTTATCAAGTATACATAAAACATTGTCCAGGATGGAACACAGATCATAAAACAATCCTCAATAAACTAAGAGGGTTTTAAATGATATGAAGTATGTTCTCTGAACACAAGGCAATGACATTAAAAATCAGTAATGAAGAAATTTGGGAAATTCATAAATATGTGGAAAGCAACATACTCCTAACCAAAGAGTCAAAGAAGAAATCACAAGGGAAATTAAAAAATACTTTGAGATGGATGAAGACACAAATACCAAAACTTATGGGATGCAGTTACAGTAGTACTTAGAGGGAAATTTATAGCCATAACCACCTATATTAAAAAGATCTTGGGATGCCTGGGTGGCTCAGTTGGTTAAGCGGCTGCCTTCAGCTCAGGTCATGATCCCAGCATCTTGGGATCGAGTCCCACATCAGGCTCCTTGCTCAGCAGCCTGCTTCTCCCTCTGCCTCTTCCTGTCACTCTGTCTGCTTGTGCTCTCTCTCTCTCTCTGACAAATAAATAAATAAAATCTTAAAAAAAAAAAAAAGATCTCAAACCAATACTCTTTCTACCTTAACAATAGAGACTGAGGAAGACATAAAGAGAAAAACATTCTATACTCTGGATTGGAAGAATAAATATTGTTAAAATGTCTATGTTACCCAGAGCAATCTATGTATTCAATGCAATCCCTATCAAAATACCATCAAGTTTTTTCACCGAGCTGGGATAAATAATCCTAAAATTTGTATGGAACCAGAAAAAAACCCACATAGAGAGATGTTGAAAAAGAAAACCAAAGCTGGTGACATCACAATTCCAGACTTAAGCTCTATTACAAAGCTGTAATCATCAAGACAGTATGCTTATGGCACAAAAACAGACACATAGATCAATGGACCAGAACCCAGAATCCAGCAATGGAACCTCAACTCTATGGTCAACTAATCTTTGTGTGACAAAGCAGGAAAGAATAGCCAATGGAAATAAGATGGTCTTGGGGTCCCTGGGTGGCTCTGTTGGTTAAGCAGCTGCCTTCAACTCAGGTCATGATCCCGGAGTCCTGGGATTGAGCCCCATGTCAGGCTCCCTGATCAGCAGGGAGCCTGCTTCTCCCTCTCCATCTGCCTGCCACTCTGCTCTCTATCTCTCTGTCAAATAAGTAAAATCTTAAAAAAAAAAAAAAAGAAAAAGAAAAAGGAAAAGAAAAAACACGGTCTCTTCAACAAATGGTGTTGGGAAAATTGAACAGCCACACGCAGAAAACTGAAACTGGACCATTCCTTACACCATACAGAAAGACAAACTCTAAGTGGATGAAAGACCTAAATGTGAGACAAGAATCCACCAAAATCCTAGAGAATACTAGTGGCAACCTCTTCGAACTTGGCCACAGTAACTTCTTGCTAGACATGTCTCCAAAGACAAGGAAAACAAAAGCAAAAATGAACAATTGGGACTTCATCAAGATAAAAACTTTTTGCACAGCAAAAGAAGTAATCAACAAAACTAAAAGGCAACCTATGGAATGGGAAAAGAGATTTGCAAATGACATATTAGATAAAGGGCTAGTATCCAAGATCTATAAAGAAGTTATCAAACTCAACACCCAAAAAACAAATAATCCAGTTAAGAAATGGGTAGAAGACATGAACGGGCATCTCTCCAAAGACGATATCCAAATGACCAACCGACACATAAGATAATGTTCCACATCAGTTGAAATTAAAGAAATACAAATCAAAACCATAATTAGATACTACTTCACATCAGTCAGAAGGCTAAAATTAACAAGTCAGGAAACAATAAATGTTGGCAAGGATGTGGAGAAAGGGGAAGCCTCTTACGTTGTTGGTGGGAATACAAGCTGGTACAGTTACTCTGGAAAATGCTATAGAGGTTCCTCAAAGTTAAAAGCAGAGCTACCCTACAACCCAGCAGTTGCACTACCAGGTATTTACCCCAAAAATACAAATGTAGTGATCTGAAGGGGCCCTTGCACCCCAATGTTTATAGCAGCAGTGTCCACAAGAGCCAAACTATGGAAAGAGCCAAAGCGTCCATTGACAGATGAATGGAAAGAAAATGTGGTATATACATCAGCAATAAATGTATGCAGCCATCAGAAAAGATGAATACTTAGGATTTACATGGATGTGGATGGAACTGGAGAGTATTATGCTGAGCAAAATAAATTAGTCAGAGAAAGACAACTGTCATATGGTTTCACCCATATGTGGAATATAAGAAACAGATGATATAGGGGAAGGGAGGGAAAAATGGAATGGTAAGAAATCAGAGAGGGAGACCAACCACGAGGGACTCTTAATATAGGAAGGAAACAGAGGCTTGCCAGAGGGGAGGGA